AAAAAAAAAAAAAAAAAAAAAAAAGCTCTTTGAGGCCCAGGTAACAAACCAGCTGAACCTCTGGTCTCACCTGGCATGTTCTTTGTTAGGTGTTTACACATAGGCCACATCAAACGATATCAAAATCGTTAGATGTCAGTAGTGCTCAATATATCTGTCCTGTGCTCTCCACCTCTGTCACAGCTATCTAGAGAATGGTGGCCTGGGAGATGGGCTCCCCCTTCTGCTTCTTGGGTGGCAGCACTCCTCTCCCTGTCCTCAGCAAGGCTCAAGCAGAATGTTTACATTTGAGAAGGGTCAATGTATCCTAAAAGATGGATAGGCCAGAGTTTCTTACTTTAGGAGGTATGGAGCATAGGGGTTAGCCCAGGGACAGAGAGACCTGACAATTCACAACCCCTAAAGCCTCCCAGATCCTTCACCCAGAAAGATTAGTAATTTTAGAATATCTGTATTTTTATATATATTTATACATATATATATATACATACACATATACACACACACACACACATATATATAAAATAAAAGCATCAACCATCACACATCACTGCGGAGCATCCTGCCTTGCTGCAGGCTGAATTCAAATGGCATAAGCTACAGCCAACAGGCCTACTACAACCAACCAGTGTCGTGCCTGGCAGTAGACCTGCCATTAAAATACCAACACAATAACAGAAAATGTTATTTAAATTAAGAGAGAATTCAAGCATTCTTCATTGGGGAAAACTAACATATCTGGAAAACTTAGTATCTCCACAGGTACCAGCACACGGAGCATGACTAATATGCCCCAGCTGCAAATCAGCTTCTCTACAATTTCCTGTCTCTCATTTTGGTATTTCCTGACCTCTGCAAATGTAAAACATCAGATTTCTTTACCAAGTTCAAAAATAAAAAATATCTGCCCTGGCCTTTATTTTTATTTCTCACTGAAAAAGCAGTAGAAACAGGAAGGAAAGATGCTGCAACAGAAAATCTGACAGGATGCATAAAGACATCTTTCAAGGTATACGCTTCTGAACAAATACAAACAAGGTACTATTTTAGTGAATTTTTAGGCTTCCATCAATATTTTCCTTCTTCCTGACAAATGCCACTTTATAAAGAACTTGATCTGTTCTAATATCTTCATCCTTTTCCGAGTCCTTCTGTACCCATCTTTACAGAAGCTAGGAAGCATCCCCAACGTTACAACAGATGCTACTGGAATCAGAAGGGGAAGTGGAAATATTCCAGCTTCTTAAAATGAGCTGGGTACGTTAAATGTGTGTGTGCTCTAGAAATTGTGGGGAGGGGGAGGGGGAGGGACACCACATGCTTGCTGAAATTCCAGCACTAACTGTTACTTGCTGTTCAGTTATAATAGGTCATTTCATTAATTGGTCCAAACTAAACCAGTTGAGGTATGTGTTATTGATATTTCCCAAGAAACCTATTGCTCTAATATGCTGATGTTAGTTTATTAGCACTACTGCCTAGAATATCAATGCACATTAACAACATTTAGAGTTCATATAGACTGCAAGCCATAGCAGAAACGCAAGGAAAGATCACCTGGAGTATCTATTGATTAGGCATTGGCTATTTATATCTGGAACTCTCCTCTGTGTAATTATACAATTGGACTGGATACAGGTTGCAGTTAAATAACTTTACTTACTTACTTACTAGGGTTTAATTAGCCACCATACTTGCACAATGGCTGGCAGGGCAGCTAATGGTTTAGAGATATAGGAGTTAAGCACTGGAGCAAGGACAGTGTTCTCAAGACTTGGATAGACCAAGGGACCTCTGGAACTAAAACCGTACTGATGGACCAACTTGGCACCAAATTAGCGCAGCACCAGTACTTCTCACTTCTTGACCAGTTCAGCTATCCCACCTCCAGAGCCCAACTTCACTCCTCCCTCCAGAGGTACCAGTACATTTTGAGTTACCAAGTCCACTGAGTTAGGGCAGCAAGTTTAAGCAGCTTAGATGTAGATGAGCTGTAGATTTCTCTGCTGATTTAGGTAGTTTTTATCCTTCCTAGAGTCTCCAGTGCTATAGAGCCCCTACCAGGGACAGAACGCGGCTAAAATAGAGAGGATTTTCCTATTGTTTTCTCCCTAAATCAGCAGTAAGGGAAGCCCAGCACAACTCTCTGATGCAGCTGTATTGACAGAAATATCATGAGGTTATCAGCAAAGACACATCAGCTGAGTGAATGTTTCTGCACATTGAACCAACACAGTTACACAGTGCAACAGTCTGACAGCAGACCTGGTTTTAACAGGTTCTTCCAGGGACTGCTGCTAACATAGTTTACCCTTTCTACTGCAGGCTGTGATTTCTAACTGTGAGCTCGAAATCATCACTGTGTGGGCACCTCTCACTCTGCCAAGAAGAGCTATTAGTTTCAATTAACAGGTTTGTTTGCTTTGAACACAATGCTCTTCCTAAGGAAATCAAAAGGAACATCAATGATCGTATTCATTGTCACGACCAAAGGAGTCAGCACAGACGGATCACTGCCCTGATGAACTTGAGTTTACACATTTGACATTACCTGAAGACCGAAAGTTGCTGAAGTTCAATATTGCACGTTAACTAACCAGGTGTAGCACTGCTTGGCCCAGTTCTTTGAAGGTGATGCATGCTATGCCATGCTTAATGCTAGGCTGTTGATAAAACAAACTGCGTTCTTCTTGCAGGGGAGGAATGAAGGTTTTGCAAAAAAAAAAAAAAAAAAAGTAGCATTTTGCTTACCAGAATATTGTTGATGGCAATTTTCATCATCTTTTCAGCCTCATTTATCTCCAAAGGTCTGGCAATAGATTCTGTTCTTGCTTCCTATGAAATAAAAATACACTGATATATTCAAACACTACATAAAGGAATTAATATTTGCAGAACAGAGGGTGGTCAAGCAACTCTCGTATGAACAGCTGCATAACAAACAGAATAGGATAATATTTAAAAATCATGTCTCAGATGATTTAAAGAATGAGAAATTATGAAAAAGTTAATTAAGTGAGGCTGGGACTAATACTGAATGTTGGGGCCTGGAGCGTATTCACCTTCTAGGAGTTCACTTCATTAAAAAGTTTAGCTGGGTGAGTACAAGGTCAGCTCCATCACTGGTAAGAGCAGTTGTGAAGAAAGCTAGAAGCAAGGGCCTGCCCCTCCTTTCCCTTGGGAACTGCTTTTAAGCTAAGGCTCTACGGCTGGTTCCCGCCTGTGCTACACAGCTGCTGCGCAGCTGCAATGTCTGAACCAGGTCTCCCACCTCCACAAGTCTGACCCTTACCCACACTCACCAGCTCAGCTGCCTAGCTTGACCTCAGACCTGCCTCATCCCTACGGACTTGCTGGGCGATGACTGGACTGCATCTGACCCTGACCACTCTCTCTGGCCCTGACCTGGACCTGGACCTGCCACTCTGCATCCTGGCTCCTTGCTGGCGAGGTCACTGCTCATGCTTGCCTTATTACTGCGCTCAGCTGCTGGCTCACCTTCCTTTGCAGAGCAGCCTGGCCCTCATGGCTCCCCAATGCTAAGCACTTAAGACACCATATCAAAACAAGATGAGTGCTACTGCTCTGAACTGCAAGTATTCTTGAACGCCTTTTTTTTTTTTTTTTTTTAGGAACTGCTTATTGTTAACATAAAGGAAACCACACTGGTCATTACACTGAGCAAGGTATGCTACATAACACAGATTTGATCATCTTTACAACATGACCCGTGAAAGCAATAGGACAGACGGATGAGCTCCGTGCCACAAACAGGCAGAGCAACAAGTCACATGAATGTATCTAGACACCCCCCTGCCACAATCAGCAGGTGCCTTCTGTGCCCACATGAAAATTAGATGACGCAGGTGTATTGGTATTTTCTACTCTGATAACCAAATGACCCGAATTCAGACTTGTCATCAAGTCAGTGCTCCCTATTCAGATCCCAAAAGACGAAGAATCCTTTCTCAGCCTCATCAATTTTGGGGAGACATGGGATGAGGAGTATTCAGCAGGCATTTGTGTGTATGATGTCTTACAAAACTGACCTGGTCATTATACGAAAACATTGGACTACCTGTTTGCTACTAGGAGGAAAGCGGGAAGACCTCATCAGCTAGATGTCCGTAAAATCATTTTATGTTGCCAAACCATTTGGCAACAGGTAAATGAAGATGGAAATAGTATCTCCAGAGCACATCTGGCTACAAATCTAAAAATGCATTAGACACGTTGCAATAGGCTGTACCCATCCTACTGAAGGAGGTATTCTAGCAGCAGATACAACTACTTTGCTATGTTACAGTTCAGACACACTCCAAGTGGCAGAAGCAAGTATGGGAAGAGGCAGCCTAGCTCCCTCCCCACCACCTCAGCAGCACAAATTCAGGGAACTACACAGTGAACCAAACCAGGGAGCTGATCCAGCTGAAAAAAAAAAATCAGCTTTTTTTTTGCTGAATTTATTCTTCCATTGGATCAGTTCCCTGAAGCAGCCTACTCCATGCTGCACAAACACTTTTTTTGGCACAAGGGAGGAAGCAGGAGAAATATTCTGTTGGGGACAGTGACAGGAGCTACATCTGTTGGTGGCAGCGACAGCTTATACTGCCTGAAGTGCTTGTGAACGTTCCCCCACCCACACAGAAATATAAGCTCCAAGCAGCAGAAAGTTAATTTGGATGAATATAAGGTGGAGGAATATGTTTGGTTGTCTCTTCATATAACTCCACAGGTAGGCACTTTTGGAGGAAGACTGAACAAAAATAACGCATCTCAGTAGATGTTAGGAGAATACCATGTATATACAAGCTCAGTCAAATGCCTATTTCTTTGTGATGATTTTCCCTGAGAAAAGATGCACAGACACTGAAATGGAAGCCAAGGCTCTGCCTGCTGGAGATGCTGCCCTCCCCATTATCCTCAGTTCTTCCGAGGGCAACAGAGAGCTCTCTCCTACAGAGCGAACATATTTCAGACAAAATAGTTCATCACTCAGCAGGAGAAAGGAAATGATTTTCCTTCCCATTTTCAAAAGAGATAGAAGAAACAGCAAGGACCTCAGGTTTTAATTAGAAATAACCCCGTTGCCAATTTCCTTCTAGTAACCTGGTAAAACACCCACAGAACATGCCCAAGTCACTACAGTCGGTGCCAGATCAGGGTAACCGCTTTAGACATAAGTTTGATTTAATATAAATTTAGATCTAAAATATTTAGATCTACTGTTTTAGATATACTTCTGAGAATCTACCATTTTAAGTTAGAATCATTTATGCAAGTATAACATGGTTTCCTCCTCTGCCTTCCATCTAAGTCTCACATACAGACCACAGTCTTTGTGCAGAAATTCCTAACAATTTCTTGAGCAAAGCTCAGTTGTCCAGTCAGGCCTGCTCACGAAAATTCGTCAGGCTGATCAAGAGCAGTACAAAAGCGGAGATCTGCATTTTCAGACCTGTTTGCAGGATCAGGGCCTGACTGAACAGCAAGAAGGTCAGTGCAGTTAACCTCCCGGCACCCCAGCAGACAGGCAAGTGAATCCAAGTGGCATGTCAGCTTCTGCGCACGTACAACTCTTTCCTCCTCCCCCCAAAAAACTAAACTGGCACATGCATATTTTTCACTCATTGCTATCAACAATTACCACCAACCTGATTGTGACTCTTCAGAGTAGTACATGTAAGTCGGTACTCAATCTCAATGGAAAAATAAAGAAATTGTAATTTGCAAGCAACAAAGCTGTTGTAAAAAAAAAAAAAAAACAAAAACCAAAACCACCCACACAACTTTTTTCCAGTTTTCCTGAATATCTGTCACTGGGTCACTTTCTGTTCTCCTACAAATACTCTTCAAGAGGAAGCTTTTAGTTTTAATATCTCTTTTCAGAAAGGACCCTGCAATTGGCCATGCAGAAGAGGATTAAAAGGAAGGTAGCCTACATTAATAAGCCTGGCAAAGAACAGAAATAACATAAAATAAAACAATAATGATAAAAGTTACCAGCACGCTAGGAAAAAAGTTTACTTTAAAATATCAAAGTAGGTTATTTTAAACAGTAGGTTATTAATTTAATATCACACACCCACTTTGACAATCTGACCGCCCAGATGAGCAAATAAAGTATGTTCTTCTCCGGTTCTAGTCATCATCACTGATATTTATCGCTAAGTAGTCTATATTCAGCAAGATGACAACTGAGATTTTCAAAATCTGGCTTTACATAGAGGCTCCCCATTTGTGCTTACATTTATGAATACAAACGGAGTGTATATGTGAAGGCAAAACCAATTTTCCACTTCCGTCCAAATACCAGGTATTACATTGTCATTGACTGTACTCATAACTCCTTGTGCTCAAAAAAAGCATGCAAATGAAACTGAGCTGAAAAATATGGCCTTGTTCATTTCCTTTTGAAGTAATGTACTCTTTGCAATTAAGTGTACTAATCAGAATACACAGGAGATTTCCTTTAAATTAAGCATTAAAAATAGAGTTCTCGAGAGAGATGAAAAATATAGAAAAAAAATTACTGAAGTAAGAGGAGGTAAGAAGCAGAACAATTTAGGACTACGCCTGATAATTACAGCTTAAGAAAACAAACATACACAGAAACAGAGAAATATTCATGAGCAATCTGTTTACCACTTACCAGTGCTTCCTGTTCAAAGTGTCCAAGAGGTCCACAGCTACAGTTTTACACAATAAATACTGATTAAAAAGAGAGTCAGGGAAGCCAAGTGTAAAATTATTTCTGATGAACTAAAGTTGACAATTATTACAGAAAACACATAAAAGCACACAAGAGACACTATTCGCTGGCAATTTTTTCATCCTTTCTGGTTTGACTAATATTTGGTGCTGTATGGAAGGGCTGAAATTTTAATTCTGCCAAGTTTTGAATCTCACCTTTAGACACAGCCAATTGGAAGAACTAACAAAGTAGATGGCTGGTTTAGACTAGGAAAAAAAAAAAAAAACCTTTGTTTTCTTTGGAAAAGAGAATTTCATTAGAAAGCAAGAAAGGTTCCCACTCAGAGACCAGCTGACTACCCAATTAAGCAGAACAGAGCACAGCCTGACGGGACATTCCCCATAGGATATGGAAGGCTGCTCTGCCCAAGTCACACCAGTTTTGGCATCAGAAGTGAAGATAAATTCCCTTAAGCAATATTGCCCTGCAGTCGTTTCAGGGAATAACACTGATCTTAAACCTTCAAACCTCCACCTGTCTAAAGAATTTACTTGTCTCAAGCCTGCACCCACACTGAGGGATGGTCCTTTGGGCCAAAAACCAGCGAGGGAGAAGGCTGCAGTTGATCTTCACAGCAGAAGCGCTGAGGCTCTGTCCGCAAGAATCAGGTCAGCAGTGAGCCTTGGAACAGCGATGCTGGCCCACTCACTGCCTCTGCCACCATTTAGCTCTTACTGGAAAAGTCAGACTAATGCAGGACACAAAACACCCTATTCTCTCAGCGTGCAGTTTACTGTCACAGTACAGATTTTTTTCTGCCAAAGGATAACAAAGCAACTGGTGCAACTAACCAGGAGCTCTACATCACTCACCAAAAAGCATCCTGTCAGATGCAAGCAGAGAGATGATAACCTGATCAAACCCTCTTGCAGCTCTACTCCCTAATACCCAGCTAAACGTAAAAAAGTTGTTTGAAATATGAAGGGTAGAAAAGCAGCACTGGACCCTCCCTGTCCCTGAAGGCCTGCTCCACAAAGCTCTGCCACCTTAAACTTCCTGCTCTGCTCTTCAGTGAATGGCTATCACTGATGCTCCTTCCCCCTTAACACATGGGCTTCTCTGCCCCACTAGGATCATTAAG